TGTAATCAACGTATCCCTATGAGTCATATCTTCTCTTGCACATATTGCACGTCCACCCCGTTGCACCTGTGGTAGGCTGCAACAACTACAACAATAATTTTAACTCAAAACGAATTGTGATGGAAGTAAAATCACTCAGCCATTAACGGACATTCAACGTAGGAGGGTCTATCGTGTGGTCAACTGCACTCAGAAGAGCTTAGCAGATACTAATGATTAAGCTGAGCAATAGCAGTGTGGCTGACGCACTGAGGGCTGTAACGTTAATTACGAGAGAATGCATTTGCGGAACACAGGGAGCCATCTACAACATGAAGTAGTGCAAATGCTTGATAACTGGGAAGAAGTAGACCAAACGGTATTTCTGTCATCAATTCGCTATAGATAGGTCTATTTGATTGAAAGCGGCCGTTTATTTAGCGCAAAGCAAGATAGAATGACACGGACCAAGGCTAAAGAAATATATGCCTGGTGTCAACTCAACGAGGATATAACTCCGCTTTCGACGCAAAACTGTGTTCTTGAGTCGCATTTTGTTTCACAAGAGAATAAAATCGAAGCTACGTTAAATTGTCCCGTATCAATCTTTCGTGTCATGGCTCAGTGTACACACTAAGGATACATAGTCGACGTACCCCAAACGAAAAGTATTGGATGTTGTCTCGATATACTATAAAATCGATTAGGCCAGGGGCGCTAACAGCATGTAAAGCCTTTTGCAAGCGCGGGACTTAACTTTCCGATGTTGATACTCATATGAGCACTATAGATGTATTGATTCATATCGTCACAGTTAATGAAAGAAGAAGGCTATGTCATCCTCTCATGCGCGATCCTCGCATTCAGACCAGTCGTTGTGCCAAAACCTGATGCAGCATGACGACACCGGCTTTGAGCGATGATACGCTTCACTATCAAATAAATCGTGTTATCCTTTTTTGTTGTTGTAAATTACTAGTTCCCGTCGGATTAAAAAGCTATTTACAGGTATTCCGAATGTTTATGGCCAATTTGGTGAATGGTTGTGAGTATCAATACATGTTTTAGCTACGATTTTAAATGGTCGTTGTACGGCAGTCGAAAATAAGTTTCACAGAAATACCAGCACTTTTCTCTTAGAATCGGTCTGTGGATGAGACGAAATTGGCACCCATTGATTGCAGTCTACAAAGTTTATCGCTGATGGAACGGAAAATTGCAGGACTAGAGTCTTAATGGAACGAGTAAGAGCAACACATTTGACGCTATCGAATAGATTTTTCCTTGTGGAGGCAAGTCGAAGCGAATAAGAGCAATAAAACTCCTGTATAGAATGGTGAGTGTAACGTAAGAGTATAAGATTCCCCCTTGTGATGACGCATCGTTTCTATAATACAGCATTATTGTGTGACGAGGAGCTACATGCTCTGTGCATTGACTCGTTAACAGAGTGTGATGCAGGTTTAGGGGTTGTAGAAGCTATCATCGCGCTGGAAAATTTATTCTCTTACGAAAAACCAATGATATTGAATTCACCGAGATGATACGCTGGGTAATGAGGGAAAGTTGATCCATCATGGACGAATCTGTCAGATCGGATAGCGAGCTTCAGAAACCCTATACATCAATTTTATTACTTCGTAAAGAATAATCACGACGTGGAAATACAGACTTACCATAAATGATTTGTCTTACCGACCCCGCAGACAAATCGACATCACGGTAAACACGTGTCTCGACGAAGCTATCCTCACCCTTTGTAACTTGTGAGTCACTCGGACATTTAGATGTTGCGGGTCCTTGAGAGCTTGTATGAAATATTGCTACTCATTTATGTTCACCAACATATCGGACCTCGACAAAGTTCATCACGAAATGAAATATTGCTCAATACTTTACAAGACTGAGTAAGAAAGCCACTAGCACCCAATTTTTCGTAAACAAAGGGCAGATTTTAGTATCTCTATACCTCCCTAGACCCTTTTGTATGACCACTTGTCAGTGAAAGAGGTATCCTTGACAGCAAGCGCCAGCGTCATGCTGCTACAATTCATATGGTGTGGATGTTCATGATTGTTTCGGAGGACTTATCCCGCGCACAGATACTCATACTCAGAGAATCTTCGAGAAAGGCGCGGGCCAAAGAGCTTACGGCCTTATTGCATGCTATCTGGAAAGGCCGAGGTGACAACCAATATGAATAGCCATAGCGCATATCCCAGGCCTCGACACCTCTGCTCTCACTTTAAGCCATACAGCCGTGCTGCTCACTGAAAAAGGCAATCTCTACGCGCTGCTTATTCTATGCACGAGTTAGAAATTCCGTGTCCGTTCCCTAGGGCAGAATGTTTAGCAACATACCCCGCAGAGCTTACATCGATGTTAACAGCGAGCCAGACTCGGTTCGGTTCCGACCGGCACGTGTGCAAGTAAGAAATTTGCAACAACCCGTGCCGATCCCATCCCGCCGTGATCATAATCTTAATCTATCTATTACTTCTTCTCGCTACGATGTGGAGGGATCCTCACACGCAATGGATTTGCACGCCAGCCACCTGATCACACCGGGAGCAAAAACTATCGCCCTCAATTCGATCAGCGATTGCTTTGTTACCCTACATTTCTTTAATATCCAGCAATGATGTCCGCGCTTGGACCAGCAGCGGTCGGTGGATTACGCATCATTTTTATGACTGTAGATTGGGTACTGTATGCTGACGAGAGTCTGACGAGTATTCCACATAAATTGCACGGCAATATGCTCGTCGAAAAGGAACGATTAGTAGAAGAGTTGGGGCTGATTTTATAATTTGTCACAAATGTACCTGTCATTGATGACACTTGGTTGCGAGTAAAGAGACAGTTATCCTGAAGGATCCTTTGTTGAAGGAATTTCGCGACGTAATGACGAGACATCCACCACATGTGTCCTTTGGTAAATCAGTGCATTTTGAAATTGACTGAAATTCTGGAATGCCTCGGCACGAAGTAGCCCACTAATTTCCAATCGTCCACACTTCAATGTCACATATTTCATCTCAGTGAGATTATGCTCAAATTGTAAACTTGGCGACGCTACATCTGTTGTGCATCAGTACCAATTCGATGCTAGAATCTGGCAAGACACACAAATGTACAGCGAAGACACATGTTTCACTGGTTGTAGTATACCAACCTAACTACTCAGCGTACGAAGTCGATACGACAAAGTTGTGACCACGCAACTCCGTCATCAGTTTCTCAAGTAGTAGTAAGGGGGGTCGACACTTCTGACTACTTCGATCTTTCCATTCACGAGTGAGAAAATCTTCTCTTCCTTGAAGCTTTATTGATATGTGCGGTGGGCCTGTCGTATGGATGTGCTAAGTAAATAGTACCGTTACATCTTTCTTATCAAGAAAACCTGTTCCTTGTACCCGCTACTCATGGTCGCCCTCCTCTCCACCTACTCTTCACATAGATTGCGGCAACCAATCCTTCAAATTCCGACCCTAACAGGAGAAACAGCAACTCTGAGCTATCCTTATACGTCTAGCCCGATATACACGCTAGATGGCACGACATAGAATTGCTCTCTTGTCTAAACAGAATAAACTGAGAGCACCTCAATAAACAATCGTGTTTTCCGCCTCGTCCAAATACCTCGGCTGACGTGAAATCTTTACTTGAGGTAGTTAGAAATGATTTTGCTTACAAAGGTTGACAACAGAATGACCAGCATGAAATTAGTTGCAGCTTCGTCTCTAAGCTATAAAGCGCATCCGATTCCTAGTATTTGTGCTTATAGCTCACAAATACGTCACCGGAAGAGAAGAGTACGCTATGCACCTAGTTTTCTCGACTTCTAGCCGACCCATGGCTTGTGGCGTCCCATTCACATACCAACAGGCATGAGATTGTGAGATTGTATTTCAAATCTCGGTCCAAACTTAAACAGCATTCTAAGCTGTCAAATTCCTTAGAAATACTTTTTTATGCTCAGCATAATCTTTCACGCTTTTACCGGTGTTTATGTCGCAAACCACATGGTCGTCGTATCCGTAGTTATCATCTTCGATGCCTTTGCGTACTGGCTAATGTTTATGCCAGTCGTGTGTAGTAAATAATTCTACAACGCTCATAAATCTACCAGGATATTTCACGACTATGCCACACCCTGAACGTTGATGCTATCATTCAACGCTCTTGGGGATTGATTCCGACTTTGCATAGAGAGAATCGCTTATTGGGGCTGATTCTCATGGATGACGGCCGATGTTTTGTAATATAGAATCCGGGTTGCTCCCAATAAGCCGCCCTGCGTTTACTGGAGTTGATGCTTCATGGCATGGGTCGGTAGTATGTTACCCCTACGTAAAAGTCAGAGCCGTCGAAAAAGAAAGCACGCTAACCCCCAACTGTGGAGTTTCTACCCATCCACGCACTGAACCACGCCCACCACTTCCTTGAAGGAGTTGAGTTGGACGCGGTAGGTCTTGGTGCAAACCGCGACCACTCGACAACCCTCCCTGAAGATGGAACCGGTTGCAGCCCTCGAGAGAGGGTCGGATGTCGCTTCGGTTATTAAAACTCTTAACTCTTGATTGTAGTTTGCCAATCATTATCCCCTCGACAGGAGATCAAGCTTCAAACGTAACAAATACACCTGGTTAGGCGGTGCGAACATTCGTGACATTTATCGCTTTAGATCACCCCACGTTGGGAATTTGGGGGTATCCTTTTTCACCATATTTAGGTGATTGCCCATAAAGCACGACAACCGGCTTGGTGATCCCAAGCCTGATGCGCTATAGCTCCAAATGCAGCAAAATACAGCAACAACGACTCAATGGCCGTAGCAGATTCTTACTCCAGAGTGAGAAGTTATCTCCACCACCCCGTACCTTAAGTTGTAGACGCTCGACATCAGAAGCGATACGCTGAAACCCATTTGTTACCAACGGCGTCTGTATTGAACACGCTTAGACGCGCCCCATCACCGCATTCTCAACGCTGGTGAGCGCCTAAGGCAAGTGATCACCACCTCCGGTCGTTTAGCTGCCACCCTGCTAATCCCATCGGGAAAAAAACTAAAAATTCGTTAAGTGGGTCTATTAATTTCGGGGACAGGTACTTAGAAGTTCAAGTTCCATCTCTCCGCAGGGTTCAGTCCATTCACGACTTTGTCGTGGGATTGATTGCAAGAGCTATCATGCTGAATGATGTCGCCTTGTACTCTGCACAGAGGAGCTTGGACTCTCAAAATCCACGTCAACAAACGTACAAACGACGTGTCGCATTCTTCAATCAAAAGCGGAACTGAGCGCTTTTACATGACAAACACTGTTTCTTTGCTCCGCTGTTTCAAGAGTACACTTTACCAAATAAATTTTATTTAGACTGCTACAACAATGCACGTTTAAAAATTCTCGTGACAAACCTTTTTTACCCCACGAACATTTTGGAGCTTGATCAACTTTATAATAACCTATATCTGGGTATTTACGAATGTAAACAATCACTCCAAGTGCAGTTTTAATTGGTAGATTTGTACAGATACAAGCGAACCAAATGTGGAACGGTAAGAGTATACAGGATTACACCGAAGTGATCATTTTGAGAGTTTCACTCGATCGCAAAGCTAATTGCACGCCTTAGCTCCGCAAGTGCGCAAGTGACTAATGTGATCGCTGCTTGGAAAATGCAGTGTCAGGCTAACAGAAGAGGTCAGAGTGAAGGCTGTCAAAGAAATTTATGCCTACATAACCCATTCTATGTGGCCGCTTTTTGTTTGGACTACCGCAAATTTGTCAAACAACTTTTGTTGGAGTTATCACCGTTCAAACAACTTTTGGAGTTATCACCGTTCAGGTAGTTTTCGGACGGTAAGACAAAGTTTAGAGCGGATTAAGGTGTTGCCTCTCGTAGGTTGCCGCAAGACTGTCGTTGTGTCGTTGTGGGGTAGAAATATCGATTGTATGTTATTCCAAAGTATCACATATTTTTGATGTGGGTTTCTATGTACCAGCGAATCATTTTCATGTTAAATTCTGCCCATGATGTTTTATTCGTCAATTGCTAGCGGAGATCTATTTGACCACAAAAGTAGTTATTTTAAAAATACTACAAACAATAATATTGATCGACACAACTCTAATTAAATGTAGAGCGCGTAATACCATGCATTCACTCCGTGCACTTGACCCAACGTCCGTATCCAACGCAATCCCAGTGAGAATTGTGCTCCTCTGCATATGCTTGTACTGACATGTTTTCGAACTGATGAATCAGGCTCGCATAATTGTGCTCTCTAGCAAAGTCAGCAAGCTTCCTTGTGGATTCACGAGTTTCTTTGATCTCAACGTCTTCTTTGACAACGTTCGATTCGACAACATCTCTCTCTTGATTCGTTGAGCAATCGGTCGACACTGTATGCGCTTCAGATGCGAGATCTTCACTCTTTGCTCTGTGCTTGCCCGATAGAAAAGGGTTACACTTGTTGAGCAAATTGTCAGCACTCGCCCTTAAAACATCATGGGTCGAATGATCGTCGAGAGCAAATGTTGGAGCTGTCTCCCAATTTGCGAGTGCCACCACCTGACACCTTGGAGATGCTGGAATAGGGTACAGCGGTGCGGTATCTGGCTTCACCAGTTTGCACATGTCGTCGAATGCAATGTGCTGCTGCTTCTTCGATCCGATTTTGGTTGCATCCTTGAACTCTTCTCGTCGAGAATTTCTGGCCATAGCCATGTCGCTACCTACTCCTTGACAAAGCAGAGGCTTAGCCGTGTATCTGACCACAGCTTTCCACACCTTGCGTGCAGCGTTTGTCATTTTAGTGAGCATTTTCATGCGAAAGAATGAACCTTTGACCTTCATGCCGATTTTAAGCAAATTGACGCCGGCGTGTTCACATTAATCGGGTGCGTGACTGGTGGCAATAAAAATAATGGCCATATCCCAAGCAAGGGCATCAAACGTGGATCGGCAGAAGATATTACAAATAAACTTACATGTGACACGCATTGGAACGGCCATGTTGAGGTCAAGCTTGTAAGAATCGTAAGGTGTCACCCATACATGTTGGATGCCTTTAGGATCCTTTGACAATGCAGAGCGAATGAGTCAACTGAGTTTATATGTTTTCTAGGCAGCTATTGGGCAAAGCGAGCTGGAACGATTGCGTGGAGGGTACGAAAGTAATTGTCACTCCAGATATCTATCTTATCAGGTGCCTTAATATATATTTTTTTACTTTAATTTAAAAGTACGTCACCACGAAGAATAGGTGTTAACCCAGACCTGCTAGAAACTTGAGCTGACGCATACAGACCACAAGAAATTGTCATTCTGTCACCCAAAACTGTTTCAGTGGCTGTGTCGCATGTTAAAAATTCTTGATTAAGTTTGATTCGCCACCGTTTGATCATCAAACTTGGCGAAAGAATGCTATGATAATTATTAACTGGGTTATTCACAAAATTGTAACTTGTTGCTGTGGTGACGCTGTTGAGGCGTGTAGGAAAGCCTCGATCGGTTTGAGCAGTGTCAGAATCAGGTAGCAGCGTCGTTTGGTCGATGCTCTGAACTGCACAAAGTCGACAAGATCGGCAAAGGCACATAGAGATCTTCGGCACTGCTCTCTCTCAAATCAGTTGGGTTTGCAATCCTAGCAAAGAAAGTGCGTTGTGATTGGTGGTGGTCGGTCATGAAACAGAGAAAAGTGGTGTCTCTAACACGTAAATCATGGAGTCCTGTCCACTTTGGTGCCAGATTGTTAGCGGACTTAAACTGGTCAGCTCTTGAAGGGTGGAGAATCGCGATGGCAAATGATTTGCTATCTGTATTGAGGACGAAGCCACCATAGTTTCCGCAAAAGTTCTTTAGCAATGGTTCGCCGACGACCTTCATCTCATGCAGCACGAAGGTTTTCAATATATTACATTTTCTCGCTTGACAGTCAGATACTTTGCTATGTCATGCTACCGAGAAAGTCGCCTCTTGAAAGGGATAGCCTAATTTTTCTGCTGGAAATGCATTTTAGCCTATCCTTTTACGGTTCGTCGCCATCCAGCATTGCTGATCATTTAATGAAAGACGCAATATATAAAGTACAAAATCTGTTGATTAATAAACAAGGTTTTGTAACGCTTATAATCATACAGCATTGAATTACATTCTTCTGGTTAGCCAATTTAGATCGGACCTAATCCAATCAGCATTCCAGCCATTACGTTTCAGACACCGTTATCGTTAGACTATAATATGATGACGTGCCGCTAGAATAGGTCGTTACTGAAAAGGATACCTCATCTCGGCTTGAAAATCGATACTTGTATTTCTATTACAAATGAAGTCGATGATACGTTTTTCTGAAGGATACGCAAAAAAATCTTTTTATCCCGGGATATCGAGTTCAATATGACGACTTCTGCGCACGTGGCGGAAGGCAAATTTTACGTGCTGATGACTTTAAGGTGCACAACGGTTCTGACGACAAACACGCCACATACATTAAGGCGTTGCTTTTTTGGCTGCCCAGCTGATTCAAGACAAGATAGGGAGCTCATGTTTTTTTAAGATTTTACTCGCTATCGACCACAATCTGTCAATATATGACGATATTCAGACGAGCGCTATCGTCTTTACATAATTTGCCGGTAAAAACGCCTGTGACGGAGCATCCAGCGCTTTTTTTGTTAGCGCCAATGTTTTACCTTGACAGAGATGAACGGTCGCATATAAGACATTACACAAAAGATATATGATTATTTGTTACCTCAGGGTCGCGAGTTGTTTGGAAATTCGCATACATCAAAATGCTATGCCTATAGTGCCTTCAATATGCTGACTTTGTCATATATAATTCTACAAACATTGTTTGATAGAATTATTGCTCTGTGAGCTACATTACAATTCATACGAACGTAAAGGCCTTGGTTTTATGCTTCTTGACTATTAAGCGCACGTGTGCTATGAAATAGCTCATGTGTGTCTTGGATGCAGGAAATCGCATGAATTCTATTTGACTTATACTTTGAGCGAGTGCTAATCCTTTCTTGTACGGCTTAATGTGCCATACCATCATTTATCATGACAATCAATTACAAGGCCTCATGATCACGTTTGAGTTGCATTCTGCACCAAAAAATGCTCTAAGCATGTGCAAGGAATGACTTACCTTTTTAAATACCTTTGAAAGCTAGGCTTCAGTAAAATTGTAATTACAGTCAATGCACTTTGAAGAGTATATCTTGCAGAATACATGTATTTCAATTGCAAATGCTGGAGTCTTGGCAAAGCCGGTAGCAAAGTAAAGGCGAACGAAATAAAGCAGTGCATACTTATGTGACTCGACTTTCATGAAAACGGACAGTCAAGACATGGATTTTCAAAACCAAAAGGGCATGACACGGCATTGTCATTCATGCGTTTTCCGCGCCAATCATTGATTTGGATGATTTGTTTTCCTTTTCATATTTTGTTCAGTATGAGAAAGTCACTTAACAGTTGCGCGTTGTGTATAATTCTGAAAAGCTAAATGCGAAAACAAACCCGAGACGAATGAAGAAGTACTTTTAATTGCTAAGGAGGAAACATCTCGAACAGCGATTAAACAGCATTATGATACCGGCTAGCTAATAGATTATCCAGCAAGAACAGACTACAGAATATTCAGAGAGATTACATCACGGGAAATTTACTAACAGGTATAGAGGTAGCAAATTGTTTTAAGGAGTAAGGATCGAATAATACACCTCAAGTGACCTAATCAACAGAATAAGCTCAAGTCCCGCAACCTTTGCCTTCGATTATAGTTCTGCCGAAATGGTGTTGTTATGAACGTGATCTCCGGAAAGTCATTTCTGGTTAAGCACGCTTGATCTCTCCGCCCTCGCTCTGGACCAGTCAGAGCTCAAAAGGAAGTCGTTTTAGCCCGCTTGCCTTGCAATGCTGAATTTGCGGTTGCATATGGACTAGTTTAGCTGACGGTGAGCATGATGCATGATCGCGTCTAAAGTCGTATTTCGAGAAAAGTACTTGGTTAACAAGCTTTGTCTTTTTCGACGCTTCTCCACGAAAATGATGAATAAAGGTGATGATGTGTTCGAGCTCGCTAATAACACCAAGACACTTGTAGAACAGCTCAATGCTGTAGGCACCGCGGTTAGGGGGTGCGATGTGGTTATCACGCTTCAAGTAAGTCTCAACGAGTCTTGCCGGTTTCGAATACTGCATTTACCAATTGTTAACGTCAAGTTTGTGACGCGTTGGTTTTCGTACCAGGATAGATATAAAGCCCAAGGCATAAGGTGGCGGTGTTGGTGAATCCGTACACTGGCAAGGACAAGCAATTGTGTTTGCAGACACTGGACGATGCAAAGAACGGCTAGCGCTACCCGTGCTTACCACTACCTATGAAGAGACGAAACGTTTTATTAGCAAAGCTTACAGTGCGTTGAGGAACGTTAGAAGCCAGATCAGGCTGATATTACAAAGGTGGAGAATCATTACGACGATTTTTCTGATGGTGGTAGCGCTAGTACCACCATGGACAGGAAGACGCGAAAACAACGCAACGAATGACGTACTCTAAAGATAAAATGAAAAAGTGAACGTGCATATTCCAACGATAACGTAGTTCAGGTCGCCGGCAGAAAAAATAGTGAGTACAATGGAAACATCAGCGGGTGTGCTTCCAACCGCATAACACATCACATAGCTTTCACGCATTTTTATAGTTGGATGCCCTACAAATTGTGTCGACTTAGGCAACTTTGAGCGCGATAGATGTTTTGTCGAAGCTGAAGGTGCCATATGGGTCGTTGGTGCTCGCGAGCGCAATTGGCTATTACACCCTACTTGGCCCCAAATAGCGCTGACGAGGAAACCGTGGCAAGTTGGATGAGGTACCCTGAGGACCACGATTTGTGTCTTCGGCACCTTTGGATTAGTCAAATTGATCATTATGTACTATGCGTCGTTGTTGAGCAGCAGAATGGTATCGGCAATGCATTGATGTCAGTCAATCAGCTGGATCTATGTGATGGTTATGCACTGAAAAAACAAGCCTAGGTAAGTTTTACGAGCTCACGCAAAAACTTGCCCAAAATCCTCCATTGCAATGTATATGGCCGCATTTACAAGCGATGTTTTGTGATATTTTGTTAACGATAGTCCCACTTTTGTGGCATGTATCTGCTTGTTAACCAGTCGAAAGAACAGGTTTGCTAAGTTTTGCGCGTTTGCAGAAAAACAGATGTAAATTTTCGTTATCTTTTAAGGTGACAATGGTGGTGGATCAGAAGATCAAGCTCTGCAAGCGGTGCGGATATCGAGTCATTGTGCAGAAGCTCATGATTCGAACTGCATTGGTGAACCGGACGCTAGCGGAACATGCACACTGCATATCACAAGGATGTTTACTTAGCCAAATCTTAGCGTGGTGAAGCAATGATGACGGTATATTTTTGCGCGATCGTTGACCCACACATGATATCAGCCACGACAAGTCACCACATTGAGTCTCGACTCGTAAGAAATTATTGATGGTGAAACCGAATACGTTTGCTTGAAGCGGTTCAGACTGCTTCGACGCTAAAGAACCAAGCCAGACGATTCAATGGTAAAGTGCCTTAGAACATGAGAAAGGTGATCGTTTTCGAGTGATCAAGAGTCGGCACATGTAAGTTGATATTTTATTATAAATGTCTCTAGCGCTGGAAAAGAGGGTTACTGAAGTTTAACTAATACACAAGACACCGAAACAATTAAGATAAAACTTGCCGCAGCCATAGGATGCTGATTGTGAAGTCGAAGCAGTGAATATAAATCTAACTTCCATTTCTCTTCAGATAACATCATGAGAGGACACAGTC